AACATTTAGTTGTCAAAGTAAATTTAGGCTAATTTACCATTAAAGCTAGTTAAAATATACTAATTTGTAATTATCAAATGACGGTTAATATTGTGTATTATAGAAAAAGAAAAATATTGATTTATTACAGTAAATCATTAAATTATAGAAACAGGAAAACATTGATTTATCATAGTAAATCATTACATTATATCAACAGGAAAACATTGATTTATCATAGTAAATCATTACATTATAACAACAGGAAAACATTGATTTATCATAGTAAATCATTACATTATATCAACAGGAAAACCTTGATTTACCACAATAAATCATTACATTATATCAACAGGAAAACCTTGATTTACCACAATAAATCATTACATTATATCAACAGGAAACCTTGATTTTTCACAGTGTACCAAAGGCGGAGTTTTTTTTTATTACTAAACACGAAGTTCGAGTTTGTTATTTTTTAACACAAAATAAAATTTTATTAATGGTAAATCTAGGCTTATTTATATCATCAACTACATGAACAACCATAATGGTGTGAAAAAGATTAAATACATAGTAGTGGTTTAGGCTTGCTTATATCACCAACTGCATGAACAACAACTGTAAAGGTGAAAGAGATACATAATAGTATTTATTCTAGGCCTATTTATATAATCAACTGCATGAATAGCAACTGTAAAGGTGTAAGCGAGATTAAATACATAATAATACCCTTGGCCTACTTATATCATCGACTACATTAACAAGAACCGTAACGGTGTCAAATCAATTAAATACATAGTAGTAGTGGTCTAGACCTATTCATATCATCAACTGTATGAACAACAACTATAAAGGTGTGAACGATATTAGATAATAATAGTACTCTACGCTTATTTATATAATCAACTAGAGAAACAACAACTGTAACGGTATGAATTCGATTAAATACACAGTACAGGTTTATGTCTATTTATGTCATTGTATAATAGTACTCTAGGCCTACTTGTATCATCGACTACATGAACAACAATCCTAACGGTGTGAGCGAGATTAAATACATAATAATACCCTTGGCCTACTTATATCATCGACTACATTAACAAGAACCGTAACGGTGTCAAGTCAATTAAATACATAATAGTGGTCTAGGCCTATTCATATCACCAGTTGCATAAACAACAACTTTATAGGGACGAGCTATATTAATTAAATGAAGTGTAACTATTAACACTTTTATTTATGTTATTTACAAATCAGAATTACGGTAAGATTTAATAGCACAATATTATCTACTTATTTTATTTTCAACACTAATTATTTATTACTATTATTTTATTTGATTGAACTTCATTGTCATTCAGAAGAACTTGTGAACAAGCAGTATAATCTTTTTGTTTCCGGAGAGGCTCAAGCAATTACAGCAAAAACAAAATTATTAAAAGTTGTTCCGAAATTCTTGTAATGTTTGGTTTACTTTGTTTATTAATTAATGGAAATTAACACCCATTTAAAAAAACAAAAAAACCTGGATAAGATAAATCTTGAAAATTAAAGTCTGTAATACATATATGTGTGTTTTGTCAATTCATTAGTAAATGTTATTGTTTTCAGGTGTTATATATCAATACAGATATTGGTTACTATACGATAACAATGACGACAGAAGCCTTATTACAGAGGGCAAATATAGAATCAGTGTCCACCTGTAGCCAGTCTGTATCTGCAAGCACACTGTGGACAGTACAGTCCGAGACTGGTAACAGCTCTGACCAAACAATAACTGCACATAGATCTGAAAATCAAGCGACCAATGAAAATCCTGCTAAGAACACAAACCCACCATGGATCACCCGTCGACAGCTGATAATCATCCTCATCATAAACTTCTCTGTTCTTAGTGAAGCCAGTTGTTACTCTATTCTAGCTCCTTTCTTCCCGCAAATGGTAATAAAGTTATAGTTACTGTATATTCTATAATATAGGCTAAGTTCTTCAGATTCTCAGTGTTAAAATATAACATTTTTTCACGTTTTAGTGTATTATTTTACTCTACATCTTTTCATCATTGTGACTTTCTGCTTGAAGAACATCAGTTCTTGTCGTTATGTAATAAAAATTCATTTAAAAACCTTTCTTTTTCCGAAGAAATCCATAATTCTCATAACAAAGAATATTGTTTGGTTTATATTAAATACGGGTTAATAAATCTCTGTTTGATCGCATGTAATCAACATAACGTTACGACATGTCAGAAAAATAGCGTTATTGAAGCTTCTATACATTAACACTAGTGTCTCTGCTGTTTGCTAAATTTTATCTATAATGCTCATTAAAGCTTAATAGTCAGTTGATTCAGATGACATGAAGATGATATACTATAACTATCAGTTGCCCAAGATAGATAGGAGTTGATATACTACAGATTTCAGTTGCCCAAGATAGCTAGGAGTTAATATACTACAGATTTCAGTTGCCCAAGATAGCTAGGAGTTAATATACTACAGATTTCAGTTGCCCAAGATAGCTAGGAATTAATATACTACAGATTTCAGTTGCCCAAGATAGCTAGGAGTTGATATAATACAACTCTCTGTTGCCCAAGATAGCTAGGAGTTAATATACTACAGATTTCAGTTGCCCAAGATAGCTAGGAATTAATATACTACAGATTTCAGTTGCCCAAGATAGCTAGGAGTTAATATACTACAGATTTCAGTTACCCAAGATAGCTAGGAGTTGATATAATACAACTCTCTGTTGCCCAAGATAGCTAGAAATTGATATACTACAAATCTCAGCTGCCCAAAATAGCCAGGAGTTCATATACTAGTGAATTCAATTGCTTAAGACAGCTAGGAGTTTTAAACATACTACAGCTCTCAGCTGCCCAAGATAGCTAGGAGTTGATATACTACAGATCTAATTTATTTACAATAATCCAAAGTTGATATATTACCGGTCCAAGTTAATTACAATAACTCATAACTGATATATTACCGGTCTAAGTTAATTACAATAACTCATAACTGATATATTACCGGTCTAAGTTAATTACAATAACCCATAACTGATATATTACCGGTCTAAGTTAATTACAATAACTCATAACTGATATATTACCGGTCTAAGTTAATTACAATAACTCATAACTGATATATTACCGGTCTAAGTTAATTACAATAACTCATAACTGATATATTACTGGTCTAAGTTAATTACAATAACCCATAACTGATATATTACCTATCAGTTATGAGTTATTGTAATTAACTTGGATCAGTAATATATCAGTTATGAGTTATTGTAATTAACTTAGACCGGTAATATATCAGTTAAGGGTTATTGTAATTAACTTAGACCGGTAATATATCAGTTACGAGTTATTGTAATTAACTTACACAGATAATATATCAGTTATGAGTTATTGTAATTAACTTAGACCGGTAATATATCCATTACGAGTTATTGTAATTAACTTGGACCGGTAATATATCAGTTATGAGTTATTGTAATTAACTTAGACCGGTAATATATCAGTTATGAGTTATTGTAATTAACTTAGACCGGTAATATATCAGTTATGAGTTATTGTAATTAACTTAGACCGGTAATATATCCATTACGAGTTATTGTAATTAACTTGGACCGGTAATATATCAGTTATGGGTTATTGTAATTAACTTAGACCTATTATCTGTGTAAGTTAATTACAATAACTCATAACTGATATATTACCCGTGTAAGTTAATTACAATAACTTGTAATTGATATATTACCTGTGTAAGTTACTTACAATAACTCATAACTGATATATTACCTGTGTAAGTTAATTACAATAACTCACGATATATACATTAAAGGTCTAAGTTACTTACAATAATTCATAGTTGATATATTACAGATCTAAATTAGCTACAATAACTACCAGTTGATACACTACAACTCTCAGTTAATCGAGAAAACTAGTGTCCATATTCCTTTGCTGTTCCTTACTTAAGTGTAGTTTTCACTTTTATAACATGTTCTGTCTTAGGCTGAAAGGAAAAATTTAACACCGACACAGTACGGGTTTGTCTTCGGAATTTTCCATCTCGTCCTTCTTGTCTCATCGCCTATCATACCTAAATTGGTGAGAAAATATAACTTGTTCCTTTTGTTATTAACATAATTATTTAAATATGAACTAAGAAGTTGTGTTTTATACAAGTGCTTTTATTAACATAATTATTTGAATATGAACTAAGAAGTTGTGTTTTATACAAGTGCTTTTATTAACATAATTATTTAAATATGAACTAAGAAGTTGTGTTTTTATTCAAGTGCTTTTATTAACATAATTATTTAAATATGAACTAAGAAGTTGTGTTTTTATTCAAGTGCTTTTATTAATATAACTATTTGAATATGAACTAAGAAGTTGTGTTTTATACAAGTGCTTTTATTAACATAATATTTATCCACACCATCAATGGATATTTAGGATACGCAGACGTGTTTATCCACACCATCAATGTATATTTAGGATATGTAGACGTGTTTATCCACACCATCAATGTATATTTAGGATACGTAGACGTGTTTATCTACACCATCAATGTATATTTAGGATACGTAGACGTGTTTATCTACATCATCAATGTATATTTAGGATACGTAGACGTGTTTATCCACACCATCAATGTATATTTAGGATACGTAGACGTGTTTATCTACACCATCAATGTATATTTAGGATACGTAGACGTGCTTATCCACACCATCAATGTATATTTAGGATACGTAGACGTGTTTATCTACATCATCAATGTATATTTAGGATACGTAGACGTGTTTATCCACACCATCAATGTATATTTAGGATACGTAGACGTGTTTATCTACACCATCAATGTATATTTAGGATACGTAGACGTGCTTATCCACACCATCAATGTATATTTAGGATATGTAGACGTGTTTATCTACACCATCAACGTATATTTAGGATACGTAGACGTGTTTATCTACACCATCAACGTATATTTAGGATACGTAGACGTGTTTATCCACATCATCAATGTATATTTAGGATACGTAGACGTGTTTATCCACACCATCAATGTATATTTAGGATATGTAGACGTGTTTATCCACACCATCAACGTATATTTAGGATACGTAGACGTGTTTATCCACACCATCAATGTATACTTAGGATACGTAGACGTGTTTATCCACACCATCAATGTATATTTAGGATACGTAGACGTGTTTATCCACATCATCAGCGTATATTTAGGATATGTAGACGTGTTTATCTACACCATCAATGTATATTTAGGATACGTAGACGTGTTTATCCACATCATCAATGTATATTTAGGATACGTAGACGTGTTTATCCACATCATCAATGTATATTTAGGATACGTAGACGTGTTTATCCACATCATCAGCGTATATTTAGGATATGTAGACGTGTTTATCCACATCATCAACGTATATTTAGGTTACGTAGACGTGTTTATCTACACCATCAATGTATATTTAGGTTACGTAGACGTGTTTATCTACACCATCAATGCTTGAAAGTTTCTTTGCTAGAATCGACATTTCGATACACTTTCGTGGATTTTCTTCAGAAATGATAACTGATCCACCTGCTAAATAAGAGCTTCAAAAACAATTTGAAGCACATTAAACTTTGTAATTCAAAGGGACAACTGAAACACGGACGTGTGAGACCACTATATATATATATATATATAAAATGATTTACTACTCATCCGTGTATCACGTGGCTGGTAATCATATGTCTGATGTCCATAACTGACATTATTTTATGAGGGTTGTTTTCTGTTTCTGTAAATCGCATTAAGGATTAACTAGTTATTGAGAAGAATATCCTTCCCCAGATTAAATAGTGAACAACTAACCCTCTGTACTTGTTTCAAGTTAAAACGACGTGCCCTAGATAAGGTCTTGAACAACCCTCTGTACTTGTTTCAAGTTAAAACGACGTGCCCTAGATAAGGTCTTGAACAACCCTCTGTACTTGTTTCAAGTTAAAACGACGTGCCCTAGATTAGATCTTGAACAACCCTCTGTACTTGTTTCAAGTTAAAACGACGTGCCCTAGATTAGATCTTGAACAATCCTCTGTACTTGTTTCAAGTTAAAACGACGTGCCCTAGATAAGGTCTTGAACAACCCTCTGTACTTGTTTCAAGTTAAAACGACGTGCCCTAGATAAGGTCTTGAACAACACTCTGTACTTGTTTCAAGTTAAAACGATGTGCCCTAGATAAGGTCTTGAACAACCCTCTGTACTTGTTTCAAGTTAAAACGATCTACCCTAAATTACAACGTTAACAACCCTTTGCACGTGTTTTTAGTTAGAACGACCTATTCTTGGTTAGATCGACGTGGAGCGTCAATATATCCTCAAGAACTCGATGGCATCTCGTAAGAATTAACCAGAAGTTTGCTAAGAAATTCCAACTTTCTTATATTCTTACAACACTGCATTCTAGAATTATCTATTTATAACTCCTGAATTCTTCGCGATTCCTGAGCACGGACCATAAAGAAAGAAAAACGCCCTCCTTTATTCGACCCACTCATTTATTTGACATATGTTTCACGACTTGGATATGATATGATTACATTTTGTTAATTATCTATTTACTGGTTCTTACTTCTAGGTTTCCTTTATAAATGCGAAGTTTTTAGTCAACTCAGGGATATTTTTCGCTGGAGGGTGTTCTATTTTGTTTGGGTAAGTCATACTGTTTTATTACATTTCATAATTAATTATATAATCTAGGGAACGTTGGTTTTATTGATTATCACATAAAAAACACGTCAATAACGATATCCATGTATTTATAACGAACATGTATTTTTTTATGATATTTAAATTGCATGTCTTTTTTTCAGTATTCTGGATCGATCTCCTCCTGGAACAACGTTTCTTGTCTTATCTCTCGTCGTAAGAATATTAGAGGCGTTTGGAACAGCCGCCATGTTCATTATAAGTTACACCATTGTTGGAAGTGAGTTTACCAAACATCGGGCAACTGCTCTTGTAAGTGGACGAACGTCAATGTTGCATATTGTAACTTTTATAAACTTCATTTGTAACAATAGTTCAGTGTGCTTTAGTAACAGATCAGTAACTCTACACATACAACAACAGTTCAGTGTGCTTTAGTAACAGATCAGTAACTCTACACATACAACAGGGATCACACTACGTGTCTTTACTAACAAGGTATAGTGAACTACAGGGATCACACTACGTGTTCTTACTAACAAGATATAGTGAACTACAGGAATCACACTACGTGTCTTTACTAACAAGGTATAGTGAACTACAGGGATCACACTACGTGTCTTTACTAACAAGATATAGTGAACTATAGGGATCACACTACGTGTCTTTACTAACAAGGTATAGTGAACTATATGGATCACACTACGTGTCTTTACAAACAAGATATAGTGAACTATAAGGATCACACAAGAAGGGAACGTACTTGATAAAGCACTCCTCCGATAGTCGGCCCAATAGTGATTCCTACTCCGAAGGCCATTTCGATCGTAGCCTAGTTAATATAAAATATTTTATTATATAATTCTCTGACCATTTAAAGAAATGTGAAAATACTACAAGTACCTGATTTTATGTGTTGTATTCGTTAAATAGGTAACTTTTAGAAGACATTGCGGAGATTCTGTAAGAAATAGTATTTCTAAGATTTAAAAAATATTGTTAATAAAATAAACTTGGAGCTAAATCCGCAAGGAAGTCATTAGACGCTGGAGAATAATGTAGAAAAATCATTCATTATTCACACGAAGCTTGTATGTGTAAAGTTACTGATCTGTTACTAAAGCACACTGAACTGTTGTTGTATGTGTGGAGTTACTGATCTGTTACTAAAGCACACTAAACTGTTGTTGTACGTGTAGAGTTACTGATCTGTTACTGAAGCACACTAAACTGTTGTTGTACGTGTAGAGTTACTGATCTGTTACTGAAGCACACTGAACTGTTGTTGTACGTGTAGAGTTACTGATCTGTTACTAAAGCACACTGAACTGTTGTTGTATGTGTAGAGTTACTGATCTGTTACTAAAGCACACTGAACTGCTGAACATACTATTAATGATATTGTTATGACTGTTATTATCTGTGTTGGGTAAGTAAAAGAACATACTATTAATGAGTTTGTTATGACTGATCTTACCTGTGTTGGGTAAGTAAAAGAACATGATCAAGGCCAGAAGCAACAAAATTCCACCAAGAACAAGAAAGGGTAACGTGTAACCACCCACCTACAATGGCAACAAAATGGTGGAGAAAAATTATTTCCTTGAATTTCGTAAGTAGGTCTATATTTCACAAAAATATGTTTTTGTTGTTAGGTTATAAATGGGTGAGATTCGTAGAAGTAACACACACACACTACTCAATTAAGGAACCAAACAAAATAATTCCATCCTTACAATGTGAAATAGAGGACTAAAATTACCATTCTCAATAAAAACAAATCTAAAATAGTTCTGGTGAGACCTAACAGCCGTATATCAGAATCACACTACGTGTTTTTACTAACATGGTATAGTGAACTACAGAGATCACACTACGTGTCTTTACTAACAAGGTATAGTGAACTATAGGGATCACACTACGTGTCTTTATAAACAAGATATAGTGAACTATAGGGATCACACTACGTGTCTTTACTAACAAGATATAGGAACTACAGGGATCACACTACGTGTCTTTACTAACAAGATATAGGAACTACAGGGATCACACTACGTGTCTTTACTAACAAGATATAGTGAACTACAGGGATCACACTACGTGTCTTTACTAACAAGATATAGTGAACTATAATGATATTGTTATGACTGTTATTATCTGTGTTGGGTAAGTAAAAGAACATACTATTAATGAGTTTGTTATGACTGTTACTTACCTGTGTTGGGTAAGTAAAAGAACATACTATTAATGAGTTTGTTATGACTGATCTTACCTGTGCTGGGGAAGTAAAAAATAGTATGTTCTTTTACTTCCCCAGCACAGGTAAGATCAGTCATAACAATATCATTAATAGTATGTTATTTTACTAACCCAGCACAGGTAAGATCAGTCATAACAATATCATTAATAGTATGTTATTTTACTAACCCCAGCACAGGTAAGATCAGTCATAACAAACTCATTAATAGTATGTTCTTTTACTTACCCAACACAGGTAATAACAGTCATAACAATATCATTAATAGTATGTTATTTTACTAACCCAGCACAGGTAAGATCAGTCATAACAAACTCATTAATAGTATGTTCTTTTACTTACCCAACACAGGTAAGATCAGTCATAACAAACTCA